GTCATATACATAGTGAGTTATATGCATCACTATAATTTTCACCATTAGTGAGTCATGTACAATAGCCAAACAAAAGCTTGGGTAATTTTAAAGTTATTAAAGAATGTACTGTATGTTTCATTTGATGTGTTTTAGGAACTCGTTTTGGGTTTACTTAGAAGAATGCTGAAATTTTCTACGAGGATTGGGAGCACTTCCAGCGGTATAAGTTGGCGTGTCAAAATGAGCCAGCTCGCTCAGCTCGGCTAATATCATGACAAGCTTGAATGTTTCATGAGCCAGCTCAGCTTAGCTCATTTATTATATGAGCTTCAATATGTAAACTTGAACTCAAATCATGTTGATCACGAGTTAAATGAGCAAACTCGCGAGCTAATATAAAGAAATATTATAATAACAAAATTCAAACTTTATTAAAAAAAACTCATAATAAAACCGATAACATAATGTAAAAATTAAACATTAAAACTCAATCGAAATAAAATAAATTTTAGTTCTCAAACCGGAAATAAAACCAACTACTCAAACTTAAAACTTAAATTAAAATTAATTCAAAATAATAGAATGATAAAAAAAAAACTATTCCAGGTGAGAGTTTTGTTCTTGAGATGATTCAAGAGCAACATCTTCATCGTCTTCATCTGCAAGTAAATTTAAAGAATTAAAACTTGTATATACAGTTCATGCTAAGACATAGGCTAGCAAAAACCATTGATGAATAATCATAATTATAATAAGAACATCCATTGTCGTCTGTTGTAAAGCCAAACAACCAAGATCGGGTACAAAGCAGAGACTGGACGTGTTTATAGGAAGAAGACGACTACGATACTTATTTAAAACATGGGAACCAATACTGAATGATGATTCTGACACCACAGTAGTTATAGGAATGCTTAGTATGTCGTATGCCATATAACCCAAAGCTCCAACATAATTTATATTATCTTTCCAATATTGCAAGACACACATCTTTGGGTGATTTTTAATCTCTAGCTTCGTTTCAGTGAGATATATATCCAAGACTGATTCCCCTTCCTCTGTAACTTTTGGCATATAATCTAGGTCAAACAAATCCTACAACATTTAAAATCAAAACACATCAGTCACAAACTCACATGCAATATGATAAAATAAATTAAATAATAATTAATTTAGGTAGAAAACTTAAATCTAACATATCTGACTTGTCTCTTCCTTGCTTACTGATCTCACGTGCATTAGTAGAAGAAGCATTAGTGGTGCTTGTGGTTGTTGGATATTTAAGCACGTAATCATCAAAGAGTAAACGCAACTTTTCTTTTATGTGGTCTAACCTTTTATTACACGTACTTGGATCAAGCACTTCATAACAACGCTTTAGGAGTTTGAATTTCATTCTAGGGTCGAGGACTGCTCCCATCGCTAGAATGACACTATATTGATCCCAATATGTCAAGCATCAAATAAGTAGAATTCCATCTTGTTAGAAAATCCAAAGACAAAGTAACTACGACACCTTCTTCTAGTACACATATCTCAAATGCAATTCCTCTAGCCTTTGTAGCTTTAACATACTTCACACTGTCTCTTATTTTAGACAGAGCATCACCAATGACCTTTAGACCATCTTGGACAATAAGGTTTAGGATATGTGCACAACATCGCACATGAAAAAATTCACCTTCACACGACAAATTATGATATAGATTTGGACGCTCTTTCAAAATATCTTGCATAGTGTCGTTAGCTGTAGCATTATTCAGCGTAAGAGTGAATACTTTTTTCTCTATTCCCCAATCCCTTAGACCATGCACATTGGTTTGTCCCATTGGTTTCTCCCACTAATTTTTATGTATATTCTACATGTAGGACAATTGATTTATTTTGAAGGTTGAGCATTGGTGTATTTTGATATTTTGTCCCACCATTATAAATATCATATATTTTGTTTTTTAAATAATTATTTGATTTGAATTACAAAAGGAAAAACATATTAAATAGTGGATTAATATTAAACATATTAAAATTACAAAGTTACAAACAAGGATTAAGCTTGTAAACATACAATAAAGACATTAAAAACATTTTACATAAGCATAGAAATATTTTACCAACATTTTATTGATCGACATTCTTAGAATTTTGGAAATTAATCTTCATTATCTTGAAGATGTCCAAAATTAGTCCAAATATGGTCAATCAAATCATCTTTTAATTGTTGATGGGCTTGTTTATCACGAACTCTTGTTCGTCTTGTAATCGTTGTCCCGATATTTGAACCCGCTACGGCGGTGCCAACGGTATATGTTTGATCGACATCTTCTTCGTGTTGAAATTCAACGTTACGGAGATTGTACGTATGGCGTTCATCTACCACAATCATATTATGGAGTATTATGCATGCTTTCATCACATTTGCCATTTTGTTTTTATCCCATAAAGGAGAAGGATTTTTAACAACGGCAAATCTAGTTTGCAAGACTCCAAAGGCACGCTCAACATATTTCCGCACTGCTTCTTATTTTTTAGAAAAGAGAGAATTTTTCTTAACTTGTGGAAGTCGGATAGATTGAATAAAAGTCGCCCATTTTGGATAAATACCATCAGTGAGATAGTATGCTAAATTGTACTCCCTTCCGTTGACAAAGAAATTAACTTCCGGAGCTTGACCGTTTATAATGTCATCAAAAACATTAGATCGATCTAGAATATTAAGATCGTTCATAGTATCTGGAGCTCCAAAGAATGCATGCCAAATCCAAAGGTCATACGAAGCTACCGCCTCCAATACGATCGTAGGTTTTCCGATTGATCTTGAATACATGCCTTTCCAAGCAGTGGGACAATTCTTCCACCCCCAATGCATGCAGTCTATGCTCCCAACCATCCCGGGGAATCCACGTTGTTCATTTTGATGGAGTAGTCGTTGTGGGTCTTCCTGTGTGGGACGTCGTAAGTATTCATCGCAAAACAATTGGATTATTGAAGCGTTAACTCGTGCAAACATTTTCGAGCTGTTGTAGCTCCAATCCGTACATACTCATCCACCGTATCCTTTGCACCACCATATGCTAATTGACGAATTGCTGCAGTGCATTTTTGTATTGGTGAAAGACTAGCGCGTCCGGCCGCATCTTGGGTTTGTTGAAAATATTGGATTTCGGTAGATAGACGGTGCACAATACGCATGAACAATGGCTTGTTCATTCGAAAACGTCGACGGAATAAATTGTGTGGGTATGTTGGAGTGTCACTAAAATAATCAATCCAAAGATTATTGTGGCCTTCTTCACGGTTTCTTTCGATAAAAACTCGTTTCTTTCGTAAGGTGGGTTCTTCTAAGAGATTTAAATATTCTTGGAAATTTTGATAATATGCATCAAATGCATCATCCTCATCTCTTTGGTAGTGGAAATGATTTGAAGATGATGCCATATTAATACAAAAGCAAGTGAGAAAGGGAGATTGGTATTGAAAGTGAAGGTTTGTGTAGAAGAAATAAGAAAGAAGGTTTGTGTAGAAGGCAAAATATAATAAGGTTTGTGGAAGAAGAAAGAAAGAAGAAGGGTTTGTGTAGAGATAGAAGTGTGAAAAAGTGTGAAAGAAGAAGGTTTGTGTAGAGATAGAAGTGTGAAAGAAGAAGGTTTGGTTTGTGTTCATTTATAGAAGTGTTGAATATTTGTTGCACATACATGTTTATATCAATCCCGTGAACCGAAAAGAGATGATAATAATTAGAAAAGTTATGCATATATACAAAATATACAAAATTATACATATCCGTGAACATAAATCAACTTGGTTCAATTCAAAAATTATACAAAACCCGTGAATAAATACATTACTGGTGAATGCATAGAGATGAAATAAATCATATCCGATCACAAATATCCAGTTAATACAACAAAAACAACAAACCCGTGAACCTTACCACAATGTCATTAGCACTACACAACAAACCCGTGAACCTTACCACAATGTCATTAGCACTACACAACAAAATTTTCTTACTTATACACTACCAACACTGCTAAAACAAATGCTGCAACATCCATTAGACCTACAACCATCTGAACTCCACTTCTAAACCTAAGGTTTTTCTTACCTAGATCAGAGACTAACAATTCTAAGTGATGGAGCTTCTGATCCGTTTCAAAGTGACTCACGCAGTTTAAGGCATCAACCTTCTCGGATAAGACCTCATACATTCTGTCCAAGTCTCTCATCTCTTCCATTGCAGCATCCTCCCACCACTTGTGGAGATGCATATCCCCATCTTCCACATTTTGACATGTGAAGAACCTACCATCACATTTACACAACCAGATAAACCGTTAAAGACTCAGTACGTATAGAATTATAACAGAAGCATAGTGAGACAAGTTAATAGAATACCTTCTGCCTATATTATTTGGGTTGTAGCAAGTACTTAGAGTAGGCCTCCCACTACAGTAGCACTACTTTGGGAAACCAATCTCTACCTCAGGTTGAGGAGGGTATTGACTCGCCTGAGTTTGTTGCAAGTGAGTTTCAACTTCATCCATCAGAATAGCTCTTGCATTGATCAAGTGACTGTCAGCATCATCCAGTAGAATCAAGGCCTCTTCTTCTTTGTCTTCACTGTGGTCATGATGGTCGTATTGGTCTGAGGAGGAAGGCTGTGAATAATTGTAGTCCTGCCCCATCTGATATTTCAACCTCAAAATAACCATTAAACTAGCATTAGAAGACACTTCAAGTATAAAAGTTTAATAAACAGAATCAGAAACATAACAACATTTCTTATACATAACAACATTCTTATATATCATGTTTGTCATACAAGAACAAAAACATAAAGACATTAGAACCAAGCCATGTACACATTCAGTTTATAACAGACACACAACATCACCAAAAGCATAGTACACATTCATACAATAATAGAAGACATCATCACCTAAAGCCGAGTACACATTAATAGAATAATAGAAACACATGCAAACTTAATTAGTAAAGGTAATAAGAGATACAAAATCTCAGAAATACTGAGAAACAATCTTCTTCTTGATAAGTTCATCACTCTCAGAAAGAGGTTCCTTCTTAGCCAGTATTGTGTCAAGGATAGCAAGCTTCTGAAGCTTCTCAGTTTCAGCCATCTCCACCTTCTTGATTTCCCACATGCTTTGATACTCAGCTACTGCCTTCCCTTCACCATTATTCTTCTTTGCCTTAGCAGCCTTGACCCCTTCCGGTCTGATCTTAGAGTCTTCACCCGTGCTAGTTGCTGACTGTGAACCATCTTGTTGAGGTTTCCTCTTTGATCTTCCTTTAGGTGTACCACTGTTGATAGTGTTCAGGCTGAGCCACTTATGTTCATACCTCAAAAGGCACCAACAATGCTCCAAAGTGAACCTGCTCTTGTGGTAAGAGTAGTAGATATCGTATGCGACCTTCAGAACATTATTGTCTAAATGATCACTACTATTGAGCCTTTCTGCAGTTGCATAAGCACCAGCAAACTTGTTCACAAAATCATTGATTTTGTGCCACCTTTGCTTGCAGTTAACATTCAAGCCCTTCTGACCATTCTCTGTGGAAGTGGGAGAGCTAGCATAATACTCTCCCACCCTCTGCCAAAAACATCCAGCCTTCTGTTGATTTCCAACTACTGTGTCCTTTGAATTATTGAGCCGAGCAGAGATAAGTACTTCATCATCAGTATTGTTCCACTTCTTTCTCTCTTTGCGATCCACTGGAGTTTCTTCAGATGTAGGTGTGGCAGCTGATTGCTGTGAACTCCAAATAGATAACTCAGAAGCAAGGTTGTAGGCAGAAGGAGGGAAACTCTCATAAGAAGAGTTTCCTTGGGTATGAGTTTCTTGTTGACTGTTAAGAAGGTCTAGATAACTTGAGGAGTGGGGATATGGATTGTAAGAATCCATATGAAAGGGATCGAGAATGAAGATAAGTCTAGAAAGGTTTGGCTGGTTAGTGGTTTGAAGAAAGAGGACAAATAGAATATGGTGGAGAAGAAAGAAGCTTGCTATCAAGTTTAATAGGTGAGAGACGATGGTGGAGAAGATAGAAAATGGTATCAAGTAATAACTCATTACTAGCTAACTGCATATGTCTAATCACCAGTTTTTACATTTAACTCTACTTTATCATTCATATTTTATAATTTCTACAAGCTACTTGACATGAAACTCTCATAGCTAGTACTATTATACAACATCATTACAACAAAACAAGAAGCCAAGTACATGCAATAAATCTCAGCCATTATGAAACTAGCTAGTACAACACCTTTTACAACAATAGCAATTCATACTTTCTATTTATATCACTTTCTTTAATGATAAAGTTAACAGCAAACAGCAAACATCAACAACATGGCTAACACCAAACATGAACAACACAAATACAACAAACAAAATCCTAACTACTACAGAAACAACAAACCTAAAACAATCAGCAAACATCATGGCTAACTATTACGGTGAAACAAACAACTTGCCTAACTGTCACAATTTCTATCAGTCTATGACCAAGACTCCTTATTACACGCAAACAACATTAGTAAAGCAAAGAACACCCCTAACTAAAACAGTTTGACATTGAAAACTACAACCACATCTGTAGCAACTTAAAAGATCATTCATATCAGTTTCATGTCATTGAAAGATCATTCATATCAGTTTCAAAATGCTCAAACATATTACAATTGCTGAAGTTAAAAAGGAATGACATTTACCTTTAAATGTGGATCAAATTGGTGCTTATCACTCCACTTGGTTCACCTCACCTACATCAATACAGATTACAATTGAGCCTTTAACCAATCAAATTCCATCTAACCCAAATAAACATCAAAAACAGTTTGGTTCCAACCGGAATAAACACTAGAAACAGTTTGGTTCCAACCCAAATAAACACTAGAAACCAATCAAATAAACACTAGAAACAGTTTGGTTCCAACCCAAATAAACACTAGAAACCAATCAAATAAACACTACAAACGGTTTGGTTCCAACCCAAATATACAGTACAAACCAATCAAATTCCATCAGCATCATCAGACCCAAATAAACACTAGAAACAGTTACGAAACAGTAAATCAGAAATTGGAACCAAACGATTTCAGTACCCAACATCAATCAATAACAAATAGAGACAAAAAAAAACTCATTACAAATCACCTATACAAAGAAGAACCATGCATATTCAAACCAAATCTAACCATTATCTGAAAACCCTAGATCCATAAATCGAATCTACATAAATAAACCCTAATCGATTTCTATACCAAAATGATTCAATCAATAACGAATACCCTAACAACTCTATAAAAATCACCTATACAAAGAAGATCCAAGCATAATAAATAAAAACCCCCAAATTTTCTTCTCGGATTTAGAATTCTTACCGATTAGGGTCTGATTTCCGGGTTCTTCTAAGGGATTTGCTTTGCCAGAAGATAAATAAGACGAAGAAGAGGACGAAGCTGACGATTGAGCCTTTCTGTCGCCGGAATTCAGAGGTCGATTTCAATCGCTTGTGAAATCGTCTTTGGTCGCACTCGAGAAACTCGAGAGAGAGAGTCGAGAGAGAGAGTCGAGAGAGAGAGAAGAAGAAAAGAAAAGAAAACAATTCAACACAGAAAAAATTATACCTACACTAAACCGACGACCAATGAGAACATGACACGCTGGACGAAGGACCTGCTTAATTCGTCCCGTTTATACGAACGTTTCTTCAATATATCATGGATTTACTTTTAAACTAAATGGGTGTTTTGGTTGGGACTTAGCCTACTAACGCTGATAAACATGGCCTCAGACACTCATAAATTTTAGTAGTTAAAGCTTCAACAGTATGTGGAGGAAGTATATCACAAAAAGATAGAATCTTATTGTTCAATAACCTTTTCTCATCTACATAATGAGCCGTGAAAGATATGTATCCTTCACCTTAAATTGCTGTCCAACAATCCGACATTAAACATATTCTGCTAGGAATATTTTCCAACTATAACTTCAACTTCTCCTTCTCAGTCTTCCACGTTTTGATAACATCTTATGCATCAGTGTTTCTAGTATATGAAATATAGTCTGGATTCATATACTTAAGAAAATCTCTTAATTCCTCATACTCATTAGCAGAAAAAGGAAGATCATGTCTTATGAGGACTCTGCTACATTTTTCCCTCACAATTTTCTGATCAATCTTTTTAGCATGTAGCTTCATGTCGACATGAATCGACATAAAGCATCATATTCCCTACATTCACACAAGGACATGCATTATAATGATGCATCAAGTGAGTAGTTCCAGTGGTCAGGGCCATGTTATATTCCCTTAAACAATAATTGCAAGTAGCCTTCTTCATCTTCTCTCCAACCAGTTCAAACTTGAAATGTTTCCACACAGGTGATGTTCGTGCCCTCTTCTTTCTTACACTTGATCCTGCTTCATTCCCAGGTAATGGTTCCTCATTATCACTCATCATATTTTCTTCTTCATGCATTAAATCTGCTTCCCACTGCTCCATTAAACCTATATAAAAAAGGTAATATTTGTTAAAAGTCAAATTAAATGGATGAGATAAAAATAATTATTTGAAAGGTATATAAAATCGAACAATCATCGTTAGATCACACATGTTACATGTATATTGGATTTTTTCTTTGTTTGTATGATATCTAACGTAAGTACGTAACTACGTAAGACATTAAAAAGATAATGAAATACATATAATGGGATCATAGAATCATAGAACATCTGAAGTTATGTTACATAACTCACATATGCATGACACAACGCCACAACTCACAACCTAATGACAAGTTATTTGAGAATTACCCTTATGATAGCCGAAAACCTAACTTGCTATTGAGATTAATGAAGTTTGTGAATTATGAGACAAACGATGTTCTAGTATGTGTTTATATAAAAAACATTAGGTGATTTAATTAGGATAATTTCTATTTTATTTTATGAAAAATTGTAGATTAATTGTTAAAAAGGATTATTTCTATATTGTTAATATTTATCTTATAAAATTATCATGTAAAAGTAAAACACAAATTTTCCATTAAGCTTTTCTATTTTTGTTTTATTTAATGGAAAAGATATATTACAAATTTTCTATTTAGATGTAAAAAAAGAGTGGAGCTCATGATCTAGCTCATGTTCATTAAAGCTCGTTCATTTGAAGTCGATCATATAGCTCATTTATTAGATGAGAAGTACAAGAAGGAGATGAAGATTGTGAATGAGAAGCTGGACAAACTCTTGATGAGCTAGCAACGGAATGGAGAAGATGATAGCACCACTAAGCTCGTCCAACATGTCGTCTTATCTTGGAATATGATGTCTACATTCCACACACATCCTCCATGTACCATCCTTCTTTGGTACCAAAATAAATGGTACAACATACGGGTTGAGGCTCTCTCTGATGTACCCTTTGTCTATCAAGTCGCGCACTTGCTTTTCTAGATCCTTAGACTCCTCCGGATTCATTTGGTAAGCTGGTTTGTTAGGTAGAGCAAAACCTGGTACAAGATCGATCTGATGTTCAATGCCGCGAAGGAGGTAGTCTTGGTGGAATCTCTTCTGGGAAAACATCATTGTATTGATCTAGTACAGCTCGTACGTCAGCAAGAAGTTCAAGTTCACCTAAACCTGTACTTAAAAATTCTTTGAAAACCATTAGTAGCACGGTGCCCTGGGCACTCATTGTTTTACAAACTTAATTAAAACTTAAATAAAGGTTGTCTCTTTGGGCAACAATTGGGAACGAAAAGAAGTTTGCTTCATCCCGGAGCAAGAACATCCACATTAAAAGTCTAGTCATTCGCTACTTCCACATATCAATTGCGAACATGCTCTTTGCAAGGGAGATGACAAGGATGCTGATCAACGAGGAGTTGGAGGTAATTGATCTTACACTTGAGGACCTCTTGTTATCTACAGTAGATGGACATTAATGAGAGGTGATAAACCAACACATCACCCTCATTCACTCTATTGCACCAGCTGAAAAACTATATATTTCAGGGAGTTATGTGCATGGAAGGCCTGGTCACTGTAATCTTAGAGGCTTGTAGTGTCCCCCTGAGATCAGAGCTTGTTGCACCAAGATTGATTGACATCCAGAACTAGAGGTAAGATCAATGGTTGCACTAGGAGAAAAGCAACGAGATGTATGTGTACTACTTCACTCACCTAGTAGTTGATGACGCGCGACGTTTGCTTCCTTGTATTGGCTTCACTAGGACATTGGAAAGAAGCAACGTTTGCTAGTAGACGAGGCTCAAGGGAGGTATGCAAGAATAGAGAAAAGTAGTTGGCAGTTGTGTTTTCATTTGAAAAGTTTATGAGCTACTTGGTGGGCTCCAAAGTTACTGTGTACATTGATTATGTAGTCCTAAGACATATCTATGCCAAGACATACCTAGCCTAGACTATTGGGATGGATTCTTTTTCTACAGGAATTTGACATAGAAATAGTTTTATGTTTTTTTTTTATATGACATAGAAATTATTGATAAGAAGGAAATAGAAAATGGAGTTGATGATAATCTTTCCAGAAAGAGGATCCAGTTCTTAATGATGATATTATGCCTGAGGAACCTATTATGGTTGTTGAGATATGTGAGAAGATGCATCAAACATGCATGTCTATGAAGGTAATTCACCGTCTCACAGTCAGTTCAAAGAGTAAGCCTTGGTATGCGGATATTATGAACTACGAGGTCTTTTAAGAGGCTCATGAAGACATCGATACTTATAAAAAGAAAGAGATTATTAGAGACGTCAATCACTACTTCTAGGATGAACCTTATTTGTACAAGAGGGGTGGAGATAGACTGTTTAGGAAATGATTCTTTTACATAGGAACAGTTAATCCAGCGACAACAGTTGATCATCAGCTAAT